ATTTATGAAATCTCTGAGTGTTATCAGAATCTCAGTATTAAATAAAGATATAATAGTACCTAAATAGAGATCATAAATCTGTTTACTTTGTTGTCATTAGAATTCTGCAAAAAATACTTTAAACAAAAAATTATAATAACACAGAGATCAGACATTATGATACCTGTATCATAATGAATAATAATACGTTATGATACAGGAATTATAATGTCTGTTCTTTCTAGAAACTGAAAAGTACCTCTTTTCAACTATCTGTGTAGTTGATTAAATCATGCTCTGCAAAACCATGGCTCTTCTCATTCAATTAGTGAAATACAGCTAGGTTTCATCTCCATTAGTTCATTGTATTCAAAAGCCCAGTGAAATAAAAGAGTTACAAACAGGTTTGCATGTTTCTGATTTTGGACAATTCACCAGTGACACACTTCTGCTTGTCAAAATCGCCAAGTACTGGCTAGTTTTGGCAGTATGTACTTTTCTGGACTAGCAATAAAAGCACATTACAGAGGGTCTTTAGATGTCAATTATAAGGGGTTAGAGTGGATAAGCTGAATTCGTTGTATCTTCACTTTATAAAGTTAGAAATTGTCTTTTTCTTTTATGGAGACTTGCAAATACTATGTGCAAACGTAAGTGCGCAAGAAGGAAAGACAAAGAATTTGTGTGTTTTAAGAATGGCTACAGTGTGTGTGTGGGGTGCCCTGGATTACCCTTAGAATGTGCAGATGACCGCTACCGAAGGAAGTGGAAGGAACAGCATGTTCACCAACTGCAGAGCCAGGAATAACAGAAGCCACACATTCAACAACAGCCATATGACTACAGGCAGGCTCTGATCAGGCACTGCCATTCAGGGTTAACATAATGTTTATATGAAACAGAAGAATGGGCCTCGCTTACAGAAGGATACATATTTCTCCAAGAAATGCGTGCCCGTGGAACAGGAAGCAGTACCTGCAGCCTCTTGACTGAACAGATGGATGAACCCTCAGACTACAGGTGCTGGCTACAGAAACAGGATTTGAAATTCTGTTTCCAGAAAGCACACACCTTTCTCTGTGTTTCACCACAGATAACAGCATCCCCAGTTCTCAGTGTACAAAAGAGACTTTTTGACTGGCAGTTTACCCCTGCACACAGTGGCATTGCTGCACCAAATGAAACAGAAAAGTGAATGGGCAGCAAATGGAAGTAGGGCCCTATCCTTGTCTTTATTAATTATTTAAGAATCCTCAATGTTTTAACACTGAGTTTTCAAAATGTAATAAAAATACACCTACAAGCTAACAAAGGTCTTCATAATATCCCAAGATAAACACCTAAGGATTAATCCAGGGCTATAAACTACTTCTGAAATAATCATTACAATTTCACATGTTTTTAAAATTCATATGTGAAGTAAATTTAATCTGTTTGCCCTTACCTGTTATTTTGTCCCCAGGACTCTTTTTTATCCTCATGTCAGTGAAACATATAAGATAATTATTTGAATTAATACAGTAATGGAACCCACAGTAACAAACATAGTTAACTTTTTATCTTGAGAAATAAAATCTCCTCAGACATCATAGTAAGGACCAGCCTTCAGGTTACTCTGGAGAGCACACAAGGAAAGGACAGAGGTGAGATCAGTACTGATCACAGGTGAGAGATGCACAGTCTTCTCCCTTCTCATGGGGAAAACTCTGGAAGGAGAGGAAGCAGACTCACATCTAGACCCTCCTCACAGATCTCTGCAGCTACTGTATGAAACAAATTGCTGATGTAAAAGGTGTCAACTGCAGGTAGATGAGGGTTTGCTGCCCGTCAGGAAGTTTTTGCTAGTAGCCATGCCTGAACTCTTGAAACTCTTGCCCCTTGCAAGTACGCTGGTTCGCTGGAGGATGGTTCCACACTGCTTCTGGCTATAGTGAAGAGCCCACTCCAGAAAAGCCATCCTGGACAGTACTCCAGGCTGTGCAATGCCAGACAAGGTGCCTGCTGTCCCCACAGCCCCTGCTGAGGTGTCCCCACAGGCCTTGGCCATCTGCTGTGCTCTGGTGCCTGTCCATGCATGGGAGCACTCTCTGCCTCGAGAGGAAGAAGGCAGCATTGATTCCAGGCTGGAGTAACCCCTGTGCTGGGAGCCCAGCAGGTTCTGGGGGACAGACAGCTGCTAAGGAGCGTTTCAGGAGTGGGACAGGAACAGTGGCAGAGCTCCAGTCCTCCAGCCTGCACCCTGGTGTTTCTAAGTACTATATATCTGAATGCATGCATTATATTTACATAAACAAGTGCTTCCCCTGCCACCCAGCCCAGAGGATATAAAAAAATCTCGTTACAGTCTTTGCCTTGGGTGCTGCTTCCACAACCATTTGCTTCTTTCTTCTGGCTTGAATGTGTTTATTTAGTCAACATGTTTTTCCTAAGGGGATATGATTCTGTTTGTTTTACTAGCAAGGCAGTAATTTGGGAACAAAACAAAAACTAATGTTTCATAAAGGAGCCTAACTAAGGAGATGGTGTGAATTCACAAATTGAGCCCCATGTCAGGAAAAGGGCTGTGTCCACGGTCAATGTAACACTTGCATGTACCCCTCTAAAGTCCCTTCAAATTATCTGTATCTAAGGCATCAAATAGCCTTGCTACAGATGGCTGCCCAGCACCACGCACATGTGTGTGCTCCATCAGCCTGGCATCGGTTTGCCTGTCTCATACCAGCATTCCTGGCAACTCCTTAATGCCTTTCCCAAGACAGCATGGTTTCAAACAAAAAATTCAAACACAACCCAGAACCTCTTGAACATAAAATTGAAGGTGACATGCACAAGTCAATGCCAAACAGTTTGGAGGATGATTTAAATAGCCTTTGTGAAGAAGGTGTAAAGAAAAGCATTGTAGGTCTGAAAGGAATGCAGGGAGAAGCCAGAAACACAAAACTCCAGAAAACGAAGGGAATCAGAGGAAATAAAAATGTAGAAAGGAGGTAACGGAGGACTGCAATGAGGAGGGGTGAATGTATTTTTCCAGCAAGTAAACTGCAAGGCACAGGAAGGGTCCTTCCTACCCAAGTGGAATATAGGAATTAAAATTTAATTAGTGCTTTCTTCTGTCCTTTTTGATCTTTGCACAAAGCCTTTCTTCACACAAAGGACAGAGAGTTTTCTGTGGGGCTGTGTGGCAGGGTAGCCAGTCTCCCTCGGTTCAGGCATTTCCCGTATTTCCCGGCATAAATGGGATGCCTCTCCCTGTTCTTCCTGCCTGCCCCTCGACCTCCGGAGGAAGGTATTCCCGGGACATTTCACCGCGGCAAACGCGCCAGCCCGTGCGGCAAAAGTTTCTGCGGAGCAATTTGCTCTCGCCACCAGAGAAGTTGAAACATTAGCCCAGGACTAGCCAACACCATCGCCCCCGCCCCGGCCGGGCTAGAGCTCCGCTTTCGTGCCGCCTCCGTAGGCGCGGCTGGAGCGCGGCTGGAGCGGGGCTGGAGCGGGGATCGCCCCCTCGGCTCGCAGGGAGCCGGGCGCCCCAGGGCTGACATTGCTCCTTCCGCGCCCTTCGGCTGCACAGATTTTTTCTTTAAAAATAAAAATTGAGGAAATGTCCCTTCTCTCTTAAATACCTCAGCTCTAAGGAGATGGGAACGAGGGGTGCCACAAAAATTGTGCCGAGTAGACCGCACCTGCGGGAGACCCCTCACGGGACGGGAGCTCAGGGACAGCTTCTGGCGGCCTCTGCCACGGAGGAGAAATGTGACCGACCCGATCGAGGGCACCTCTTGCTGTGGAGGGAGCCTGCTGACGAGCAGGAATTACTTGACAAGACCTCGGGATCCTGAGAAGCTGAGAGAAACGCCAGTAGAAGTTCCTGACATCTGCATCATCCGCCTTGCATAATTTTGCATTTGAGATGCTCCCGTAGGAGAAGACCCTGTCATGAGGAAAGCATCGACACCTTTATCCTGTGTGGGAAGCACAAAAATGTGTTGTTGGGACGATCAAAGCTGTGGGGGAAAGGGGTATCGTGTTCTCACCAGTTCTTTGCTTTGACTGAATTAAACTCCGGAAAAGCAATAAATTACTAATAACTTACCCGGTCATGCTTCCTATTTTGCTTTTAAGGGCCACATATCTCTGAACGGATCGCAGAGTCCTCAAATATATTTATTTTCAATCATGCAAAGAGATATTTCACAAACTTGGGAAAAAAAATCATAATTTTTTAAAAGCCCTAAAGCGAGTTGCCCTGAGCAGCTGCCTTCCAAAGCCGGTCGCTCTCAGGGTTGGCTGCGACGCCTGCCCGCACTTGATTTTCTGCCCCGGCAAACCCTAATTCCTATGAAGTCTGAAGGCTTAGTTATATTTAAAAGTTCATTTTGGGAGCAGCTGTCCCAAGCAGAAGTCAAACAGTGCATGCTGACGGCCGTCACAAAATGCGATTTTCAGGCATTCGTTAAAATACACGCATTTCTGGCCTCTGCCCACGATTCCCAGGTGACCTGTCCCGTGCACATCATCGCCAGTCGGTGCTTCACAGCACACGAGCGAGCATTCAGCTGTGGACACGGATCGGGCTGTGAACTGGGGGGCTTGGTTTCATTCGTTTGGTTTGGTTTTCGGTTGGTTGGTTGGTTTTTAGGGGGGTGGTTGTTTTGGTTTCGCTGCTTTTTTTTCCCCTTACATTTAATTTAAGCAATGTTTTACTTAAATGCAAGGCAGGCACCTGCAGTATTTGCGCTAGCGCTTTAGACCAAACAGGATACCCGAAACGCCGGCTCGGGCATTTCCATCTCTTCGAATGATTCAATTAGGCTAAAATCCCCGGCTTGTGCCCGCTGCGGCTCCCAGCGGGAGCAGGTCAGGCCCCCGCACTGCGGCCGGCGGGCCCGGGGCGGGCGGCACCAGCTCGGCAGCCGCTCGCCGCACCTCACGACAGCTCTGTCCTTCCCTCAACCGCGAGCAAGGGGCAGAGGTTGCGGCGAAGTAGCTAACACACCTGGCTCGCATTTCCCAAGGCATCTGGAATAAAGACACCTGCCATGAGGCGCTGGAGAGCCGTAGGTGGAGGGGATATCCAGGGGGGCGCGGGCAGGCAAACCGCAAGGGCGCTTCCCCGGGCACGGGAACGTCCTCACACGGCCACTGCCCGTCCGGAGCGGGCGAGTTTCCGAGCAGGGAGGCGAATCGCTGCGGCCGGCTGCTTCGGGCCGCCGCTCCCAGCGGAAGGAGCCGGCGGGGGGCGCGGCGGGGGAGGGACGGCAGCACCTGCCGGGCCCAGCGGCCGAGCTGCCCAGCCCCGCGCCCTCCTTCCCTGCGCCCGCCCCAGTGCTCATGCGCCCGCCGGAGGTTTAAAGCGGGAGCGGTGGCTGCCGCGGGCTGTTCGGCTCGGCGGCGGTGCGGGGCAGGGCACGCTGCGGTGACCCGGCCGGCACGCCGCTCTCCTGGGCTCAGCTCCGCGCTGCCCTCGGTGCGGGCGCGCCCCGCCGCCATGTGGCTCTCGGCCCTGCTCCTCGGTGGGTACCGCGGGGAGCGGCGGGCCCGGGGGGCAGGTGCGGAGCAGCCCCTGACCCGCTCCCTGTCTGTTCGCAGGCGCCTTCCTGCTCTCCGGCCCGGTGCGCGGCAGCGACGGCTCGGGTGAGTTGGCCGCTGCTCCCCCATCCCGTGAGGGTTTCCCCTCAGAGCGTCTCTGCCCGCCCCGCCGGAGATGGCGGTGCCCGGGGGGCGCTTGGCCGCGGGGACCGGCTCGGCCCTTCCCCGGCTCGGCCCTTCCCCGGCTCGGCCCTTCCCCGGCTCGGCCCGGCCCGGCCGCCTCTCTCCGGGTGCCCGGGGAGCCCAGCCGGGCGCGGGGCCAGCGCCGCCGGGAAGGTGCGCGGAGCCGGGCACCGGGAAACTGCAGGGGGCACGGAGCGTGTCTGGGAACGCTTCCAGACGGGGGTGAAAGCTCCTTCCTGGCACGGGCTGAAGCAGCGCCGTGGTGACAAGTGTCCCCACCGAGGGGAGTGCCGGTAGCAAGAGTGAGTGGGAGTGTGCTTGTGTGTGTTATAAAGGCTCTCAGTGCTTGGCAATTTGAAGATCTCTGGCATATTTTAGACCATGGAATTGATTAAAAATATTTTAAAGTTGCCCTGCCATTATTTCGATGTGGAAAGCAAAAGAACATGCTTTGGATGACTAGCAGGCTATGGCAGGGACTGCCTGTTGTACCATCCTGTGTTGGACTGCATCCTTGCTGCTGGAGAGCAGGCTCTCCTAGAACCAGAATGAGAACCAGGAGCCACGGGAAGCAGTTGGAGAAATATGTGACAGGACGACGCAAGCAGTCTGTCTGCCCCTTTCAGTGGAACCTTTCACCAAAGGGGGATAGGAGCCTCCAGAAGAACGTGTCTCCAGATGCAGCCTGGCCTGCAGAAGGTGAGTGACCCCAAGCTTTTCTGAATGTTTGTTAACGATTTCTCAGTTATTAGGAATCAGATTTGCTGCTGGTTTGTGTTGAATCAAAGATTTGGAAAATTATTTTGTGCTAAACTGATAAAAGCTATCTGTGACAGAATTGCTGTGGCTAAAAAAGGGGGAAAATGTGCAGCAATGGAAAACCTACTCTAACCCCCAAGTTCCTTTCCCTTTTTTACTTTGCAGGTACATTACAGATGAAGTGCTGACAGTCTGGCAGGAAACAAATGAATATTTTCTGGGATGCTTCCTTCAGGGCTGGAGAAGTCACTGTAACCTGAAGGTATCTGGAACCAGCTAAACTATCATTAATGTGAGCAGTTTTTGTAAGATATTGCCTCTTACCATTATTCTGAGCCTAAATTCAGCAGCATTTGGTTATTGAACTAGAAGCTCGTATTTACAAAAGTGCCTAAATTCTGTTGTACAAAGTAATGAAAGAGCATTAATTTCCTCCAGAATCTACTGTATTTAGGCTCATAATGTTCGTGAAGATCTTGGAGCATCTCAAAACTTTCGTTGTACTCCCACTGTAATGGATACAAATGCTGCCAAGTTCAGCAGTTCTGGTTGCCCCACACGAGGCTGTGCAGGTGGTGAACGCTGCTGTGTGATGGCAAGTGGCCTTATGTTGGTGACAAAAGGGCAGGACTCAGACTGAAATTAATGATATTGACCTGGCCAGGTTTCTGTAAATCCCATTGCCCCTGTCCAGATCAGGATATGCACTAGAGATTTACATCAATTAGTATGCAATCTGTGAACATGTTTTCCAAAATATGAAGTGTAGGTTTACTAATATGTCTTTTTTTTTTCCAAACTATTAATACTCCTTACATAAGATAGAAAAAGCAGGCTTGTTTGAAGCCTCAAAATAAAAAAGGACGTAAAATCTTTCTATTTTGAAAAAAATATTAAAATACTAGGAAGCATAATAGGGATATGCTTCTCTGTATTGCAACTCATAGAGCTATCTTTCATGTAGGAACCCCTATTTTTAATTTTGTAATCATGTACATAGGATTTCATTTTTCCTTTGCATAAACAAACTGTTTTCCTGAAACAATGCATAAAATCTTGAAGATTAGAAAATATCGGATTTTGCCTGAGGGGTTTTATTTCCCTAGAATAACTTAAAGCTGTGTCTCCTGCTAAAAAAATGTCAGAACTTTTATAGATTGACATAAGAGGCAAAATTAGAACACATGGGAAGAGGCACCAAAAATATGGGAATTGATTTTAATGATTGAAATAAAAATTGAATTGAATGATTGAAAACATGCTTGTTTTAAGAGATAAGTGAGTCTTTGTTTTTGTTTTTTTTTTCTGCTTTTTAGGTCAGCAATGATGGAAGACATTCATCCCCACCTTTAAATATGGCCTAAATCAGGAAGAATTACAGTTTCTTTTCCTTGTACCTTGCTTTTGTAGGGTACTCTGATGTAGTGTGTTTCTGTGAAGTTTGAAGGGTGTGTGTCTCGGCAGGATGGGGTGATAGTTGTTCTGTTGTGGTCCTGAAGGCCTAACTGAATGTACCAGAGCATAGGTCTCACATCTTCACCAGAGTCCAGAATGGTTGGAGTCTAGAACTGAATCCTTTCCTGTAAATTGTAAACTTGAATTTAGTTCTTCCAAGAATCCTTGAATTTAGAGTATTGCACCCATAAGTATTGAAAGAAATGCTTCCACTGCTACTGCTCTTGCATTCTTCAATTACAGTGATTAAAACATATGGGTTTTATCTCAGTTAATTTATATAGAGATACAGCTCCGTGGTAGTTTTTGCCATGTTGAAGTATCTTGGATATACTAACAAAAACAAGCACTTCTTCAATTTCAATAGCAATATCATATATGAAATTTGTTAGAATGAGGAGTATGTAAGCTGTCAAAAACCAATTTTATATATTCTAGTTTTCTGACTTCATTAATACATTTTCATGTTTGCAACAAAATCATTGAAGTTTGGATACAACAAAATACATCAGTTGGATAGCTGATGATGCATTAACAAACAGGGAAGAGCAAAAACCACTGCAGAGCTGATATCGTAAGTCTTAATTTTTGTAGTCAACAAAAATATTTGCTTTCATTTTGATATTTCACCAAACTCTTCTAATTTAGTCTCTGTTTTAGAGTTATGGCTTAGAGAAAACTGTATCTACCTACAGAAAATACTGAAATGAAACGGTTGTTTTTAATTAACAGCATTATTTTCCTCAAAGTGTCTTTTTACCTCAGTGCTGACCGAGCTGAGGTATAAACTGCTAAATCCCCTAGCTGCAGCATGTCAGCTCTTTAGTTCACACAGCAGCAACGTGCACCCTTCCCTTGGAAGCCTGAGACAGGGATCATGACAGTCTTTAGGCTGCCAGTAAAGAAAAATCCTGTGGCTGGGCTACAATGGATTTCTGTGTTTTGATTGTCAGGGAAAACACAAAGATTATTTTTTCCCCCCATCTTCTGTGCTATGCAAAAGCCTGCCACATGACAGTAATTAGTGAGTACCTGGTGATGAGGGAAATACAGATCTCCAAGCGATACAGGGTTTGTTAACTACACACATCTAATTACTGTCTTTGTATGCACAGCCAGCCAAGGAATTCAGTCAACTACATTACATTAGAAACGACAGGAGTTACAACTTCCTGTGGTGTCTTGCACTTTTAGAGGCTGGAAAAATGTTGCAGGGTGAGAGGCACAAGCAGTGCTGTGAGAGCAGAGATTACCAGTGGTGCTTACTGCAATTACTCCTCCAAGGATTTCCAGCCTTCCAGCTTCTGTTTGATTTTGATGGTCTTGTTAGGTGTCATTTTTTGGATACTACTTATTCAGTGCCCATTAATTAGCAAACACACTTGTAGGACTTCCATTAAAGGATTAGGGGTCTCAAAAGAGGAAAACAAATCGGGTTTTTTTAGCACATCAATAATGTAGCATTTTGATAATGAAATTATGGAGCTTTTAGGTATAAGCACTGATTCTGCTTGATTTTTCCATCTTTTGTTTTTAAGGCAATTAAGTAAGACTAAGCATGGCTAGGATGTGAGTAGGGAAGACTAAGTTCCAAAAGAAACTTTTTTATTTTTTAGAATACTTGAGAATCAGATTAAATCACTTTAGTTCTTGCTAGGTAGACAACTTTTATTATCTTGAGAAGGGAAAAATAAAGACATGTTTACTGCTTTCTTTTCTTCTTAATCTGAATTATATAGGCAGATTCAGCATATACAAGTCCCATAATTGTACTAACAAATAGTAGCAACAATTTTTCAGTAAGATGTCATTAGGTAGTTTAACCTTGTTTTAACATAGCATTAATGACTGTTTATAATTAAGAGTAAAATTACATGCATAGTTAAGGAATTTGTGTGTTTGATTTACACATTTAGAATGAGCAGACATGCTTCCCATTTCTGGCTGCAACTGTTCTGCTTTTCACCTCTAAAGTAAGTGAGATTAGCTGGAGGTATCATCTTTTCCATCCCCTGATGAAGAACAGCATGTGCTCCAAAGCATATGTTGGGGTCAGGAAACACCCCAGGGTAAGAATGAAAATAGTGGGCAAAAAAGTAGGTGAGAGACAGATCACTGATCCTGAAACATACAGTCCCTGGCATATAATGCAGTGGTGCATGCACTGGTACCTTGGCCAGCCTCTGCCAGCTTTCGTCTGTGCAGAGGAAGTATTCCAGGTACATTTAGAAAAGGTTCTTGCACCTTCTAGGTGCTAAGGCAAGACATGATTTAGGAAGTTCAGAATAAACAGCCAGACATGGGTTGGACTTGTGCTGTTGGATTGATAATGATCTAAGCCGAATCTCTAATGTGCTGTGCAACAGAGCAGGGGACTATGCTATCTTGTGTAGTAGGAGGATGGTAGTTACCATGCAAGATAAAGACCTCAATGTTTTCAAAAGAAAAAGCACCAGTTTGCCAAGTGAAATTGTGTACTGATGTTAATCTGTGTCTGCATACCTTCACTGCACACAGGCAAGCACAGTGAAAGCTTAATGATGGTAACCTGGAGAGCAACTTCTGAAAAAAGGCAGAGTTCTGCATAAAAAATGCATGTGCCTCAGCTGAATAAATAACTTTTGTATCACTGTATGAATCTGACAGTCCTCTGCACAATGATAATGATGTAAACTTCACTGTAATGGGTTGATACCAATGTTCTAGATGTTAGTGTATTACTGGAGCAATGAGATGCGTGTTGCTTTCTTTTCTTTTTTTTTTTTTAACACTGGCCTCAGTAGGATTTTTTGCAAGAGACGAAGGGAAATGCTGCTGTCAACTTGCTACATGAATGCCACTGGAGGGAAGATTCAGAATTTCCCAAGTGACTCATACATATCTTATGGCTGGAGATTTCTGTGGGGTTGTCAGAGTGATTTAGTTTCTTCTTTGGAAACTGCCATCTGCATCTGTGGTCTGTCAGCCCTCAAAGGTCTTCCCCTTGCCCTTCTGTCTCTGCAGTAAATTTACAGATATGGATTGCTTTTCTTTGTGTACTGTTCCTTGATATTATTTTCATGTTGTTTGTTCATGGCAGTTTTTTTCTTGCCACTTTTTTCCCATAAGAAATTTTGAAGTGTGTGCTTCCTTGTCATAACTGTGTATTTGTAAGCTCCAAAGACATCTTTATAGGCATTGTACCTAATTTCAAATTCAGATATTGCTTTAAACTTGGAAACTGTATGGACATTTAAAAAAATGCCAAAAACAAACCCTTAAGACTTTGAGGTCAAAAGTTCTTCTTTTCTCTTTAGCTTCTACTGCTATCACCTGCTTTACAAGAGGACTTGACCTTAGAAGGGGGACAGAAGATGTCCTTTGCCCAGCAAACTGTCCTCTGTGGCAATTTTATGTCTTTGGGGATGGAGTTTATGCCTCTCTTTCGAGTGTCTGTGGAGCTGCCATACACAGGTAAATCATTGCTAATCCTTGTGCTAAGTGAGTTTATATAATCTCTGCCACACTTACAAATCTCAGCCTTGATGCCATCATAGCAAAAATGTCTCTGGACTTTGTGTCCTATTATCTCAATAGGAATGTCACTGGGAGAAGAGAAAACTAGGGGGAAAAAAAGAATGTCTGTGTAGCTTGCAAGTTATCTGAGTTCCTGAAAACTGCTTTAACTTTCTCTGAAATGGCCCAGCATTGTCCACAGGTGGACTTCCACTGTGAAATCATTGGTATCACTAGTAGATATGGAAGGATACAGTATAAATAGTAACTAACTGATGAATAAAAGCAGATTCACTTCCTGACTTTAAAATCTTGCATCGAACAAACTGTTTAAAAGAAGTGGAGGAAAAGTGGTTTCAATTTTTTTTAGTATCAAGCAAGAGAAGAAAGCTCTTTCAGAGCATATTGATGTGGTGTTACAGCTATCAGAGTATTTTTTGTTAAAATACCCACAACTATAAACTTCAAATTTTGCAGAATTAAAAATGGCTAGAAGATAAATGAGGAAAATAAAATTTTCTTGAGTTAGTGTTCATTGCTTGACACTTTAAATGCCATAAAAAAAACATTCCAAGCATTTTAAATAATATTTAGGGAGCTGTCATTACTATCTAGAATCTTATTTAAAGTGTCTATTAAAATACTATCACTTTTAACAAGATTTCCAAAATTTGGGCTACTTGTACAGTATTTAAACTCATAAGTAAACTAAAATGGACTTAAAATTACTTTAGAAGGGGTTTTGAGTAGAAACTCTGGAATTTCTCAAATGCTATAAAAGAATCCAGGGTCTAATGTACTATAGGAGGAGTTAGAAGGAACTTGGGTGGTATCATGTTTTTATTTGTTTTTAAAGCTGAAGAGTTTGTCTTATATTTATATGTTTCCATGTGTATTTTATTGTTAGTCAGGCTTCCTTCTGATGCTTCTGTAAAAAGAATTAAAGTCTCTATTTAGTGTGTTTTAAGAGTCTTCATGGGTGTTTAAAAAAAATTACTCTTCAATTCTTCACTCCTCCTAGCTAAGGTATATAAAAAAAGTTTGTGAAGAATGTCTAGATCAAATGCAGTTAGTGACTTTGGATTTGCTCTTTTTATTGTTTTTCTTTATTGAACTGAGGAAAACCAAGATTTCTTTCCATTGTCTCTTTTTTTTCCTGAGGCAATGTTTGTATTTAGCGATGTAGCCATTTATTTTAACATTCAATTTCTTGCCAAAGATTCCTTTAAAGAGAAAAAAGCTCTTGCTGTCAAGACCTTCTTCTAAAGAGATTAAAGACTTGAATGTTTTGAAAAGATACAGAAGTTCCTGACCAGTTCAACCAGGCAGCATTCTTGAACCTCCCATTGTAGGCTGTCAGTGACTGACTTAGCAAAGTCCCACCACAAAAGCTGCTGGGGCTCAGTTCTGTCACAGCTGGGAAATACTTCTACAAAAGGAGGAGGTACAAGAAATGGCAGAGGCATATTTCTTTCCATGATTTGCATAGTCTTCCCCTAGATAACAAAGCACAAGCTTTCTTTTATAGTGTATCACTTAGCTCTTCACTGAAGTTTGTACCTTACAAACTACGTGTACTACTGTTCTCCAGCCCAGAAACACGGGGCTATGGAAAAATCCATGCTTTTCCATAGTAAGAGTCAATCTACTTGTGAAATACGTAACCCTCTTTGTACATCCTGCATCTAACAGTCTCTCTCCATAGACATTGTGAGAATAATGAAGGCTCTAACAGTGATAAAGAGATTAAAATATACTCACCTTTGTAATCTGTCTTCCAGATTGGGTTTAAATTAATCTTGTTCAAGTCTTTGAGTGTGGTAAACTGTTTTGAAAGAGTGTGGTAAGGGGTTTTGAAAGAGCAGACTAAAGGTGAAAAATTACCTGTTTAGATGAACTGCTGTTTCTGAAGACTGCCTTTAGGTTGGGGGCTATTAGTTCTGCTGGCCTTTTGTTCTCAGAACAGAATTTGCTACATGAGAATGTTTTGGTAGCTTTGCTGCAACTGTTAACAGCCATAACTAGTCCTGGCAAAAAAGGATTGATGCATGGAGAAGAGACAATAGCTGATTAGTTCTCAGCTAATTTCAATGCAGCCTGCAAAATCCAACAAAAACATAGGAGATACTTGCTCCTTCTTGTCCTGTGTTGCAATGTCTAAAATCCATATTGGCATGAAAGAAACTGCAAGACATTCCCAATAGGTGATTGGAGTTGGCTGTTATTGTGACGTAAGTAGATCTGTGCTTTGAAAATTTTGTAAATTTCTTCCAAATACCTGAACTAACACCTCATTTCAAACCAGGTGCAGCCTCCATTTCACTGCCTGGTGAGTGCAGCTAGCTCTGTACCTTTAGCACTGTCGGGTCCTGGCCCTGTGTCACCTGCCATGTGTCAGACAACCACCCAGCATTTCAGGAAACATCAGTGGTGGGAGCAGGGCTCGTTCAGTTTTTTAAACTAAAATGGTTGGGTGAGCATGGGTCTCTTCCACATGCACTTCAGTTTGCATGCTGGGTCTACATTGAAGCTGGATTCCTTAATTTTGTATAAATCAAATAGTGCTTAGTCCTAAGAGTAGTTCCATTACTTTGAGGCAGTTATTATTGCAAGAATATACTATGTAATACATGAAAATAATTTAGCAGAATTCAGCTACAAATAATTCTGTGTACTACAGATGAATAATCTTTCTGCCTGTTTCAGCTTGTTATATTTGGCTTTTTCTCTTATTTTATGTGTAATTACTCTGAGGAAACAAAATATTTATTTAATATTGTTCTTTTTCTGGGCAGAAGGATAAAAGATTTATTTGTTGAGGGAAGAATGGAAAACCTCCTACCAAGCTGACACTATGTAGGCATGACGAGCTGAGTTAAATCTACTACTGAGTGATTAATTGGATTAATAATCAGAAGGTCAAATGAAGGACTAGGTTCTCAGCTTGTGCAGTTCTGTTCCAGTGCCAATTCCACTAAATGGAGACCTAGCCCAATGTGTCAGTATTTCAATGTTAAATAGGCATGTAATTTTTTTCATAGCCTTCCTAACTTGTCAAAGGGTGAAACCAGTCCTCATTAAGCACTGGGATCCAAGAACTCAAGTCTAACAAAAGCATATCATAGTATTACTGAGCTGGCCACAAAATGCCCATAAACACAGATGGCACCTGAGCTGCCCCAGGGTTTGCTAGAAGAACATTGAAGGGATTTCTGAGCAGCTGTAGATCCCTGGGAAATGTTGGTATCGTGCCTGCTTCTGCTGCTGAACTTCTTTCCTGCCAAAAGCAATGGGGTGCAGAGAAAGAAAGGAAGAAAGAAAGAAAGAACACAGCTTAGGGGTCCAGAGGATGCTGGCATGAGATCCTGAAAGGCTCTGTGTTGGTGATGGATGGCAGTCGGGCAGCAGCAGGACACCAGTTTGGAGACGAGGAGGATAATTGGATAATTCTTGGTGTGATGGAGAAAGGCTGATTATTTGGAAGGAGTTTGCAGATGGTGATAGTAGGAAGGAAAGATGAGGATTCGGGCGATTCAGCTGTCTTTCCTAAAGTCCCTGAGGATAAACTGGCTGCAGTTACATCTGTAAGGCTCACCTCCCATGGCCAGAAGACTCTCTTTGTGGTCTAGGCATCAGTTTTGATGTGTAGACTTCTTGAAAATTCATTCAAATTTCAGCAACATCCCGTATCTCTTTCTCCAATAGTACAAAGAAACAGTTCTTGCACACTAAGGCAGTGCATGAGGATCCTAAAAACCTTGCATTTAATGTGGTGATTTATCTTGATTCAGTTCAGATTTTTAAGTGTGTTTTAGCTGATTTTTAAGTATTCAGATTAAGTGTGTTTTAGTCCTGTATTTTGTAAGACCTTTCTGCTGCCCTTGGCTGGTACACTTTCTTTCACAAGCTGTTGTGCAGTGAGGTACAGGATTACTGCCTTGTGTGTATCTGCTTTTCTGTTTGTGTCCATTTTTGAGTGAAAAATACCATTTAGGTATACATTACAAGTTGTTATTAACAAGCTAGGCAAGAGAATGGACTGATAGCTTTTACATAAATCCCCTGTTAAGGAACACTGGCAGTAGCATATAACATAATGAGTAGGGGAGTGAAAGCTGTTCCTGGAAAATCTGCTGAGCTCCAGTTTAATCAAAGCAGCCATGGCATGCAAGTCAGTCACACAGGAGAAAAGCAGTGAAAAGCAAAGCAGATTGCAGTGGCATAAGTCATTCTGAGGAATGCATAGGCACTTCTTCACTCTTTAAAAACCACTGCAGACCCACAGAGGATGAATCTTGTTTTAAAAGTCAATAAGAAATCATTGCAGAAAGGAATTTTCCAGTCTCGTTCAAAACACAAAGGTAAATTGACAATATATGGTTTGCTCCATGTCAGCAGATACAAATATACACTCTGAGTAGACCTACCTGAAGAAACATCCCAGGTAAAACTGATTAGATTGTAGAAGATGGCCTCAAGCTGTTAACTCACCTACAGAACAAAATGGCAAGAAAGAAGGAATAACTTTCATAAGGTCATGTTACGTTCACATCTAATATCAGCTCCCACTTGCATTAAAAGTAGCAGAGCTGTTGTGTTGAAAGTGTTTATCTTCAGAAGCATGGAACTTTGACTTGTGCTCAAATAGAGAATCATGTATTTTCAACAAGTAGATAAGGAGCAAATAAATCTACTCCAGCTTCACTGTAAAGCTTCCAAATTCAGTGAGCCTAGGTAGATTATTATTTTTCCTTAGAATTTTCAATGAAATTTAATTAATTGTTATTGTTGCATTTAAAATGTAAAGACCAATAGACAAAATGGAATTATGTAGCCAACATTGATCACAGTGTGCCTATAAGCTTAAATTGTTGTTTCCAGGAATGGAAACATTCTTAGGCTGAGCTTTCAATCTGAATGTTTTTCTTGAGTTCAGTTCAGCACTCAAATTTGTGAGTCCACAACCAAGAAAGCGGCAAGAAATCCTGAGCTCTTCTTAGGAGCTAACATGGGCATGGATGGGTTTGCTCATGTAAGCCCAAACTGTCTTCACTAAAATTGCAAGTACAAACTTAAAATAGGAACTGTTCAAATTAAACACGTTCTATTTGACACATTTCCTTATCCATTAAGACTGAGACACTTACGAGGGCTTGAAGGCCTAAGAGAACCAGGTATTGAAGAAGAAATTTATATTCTAAGTAGACTGAAATATTCTAAGTACATTTATGTGTCATTTTTCTCAAAGATAATTTTGACTTAGTGAATTTTCCTGTCATTTAAAACTAAGCAGTTAATAATTCTTGTCTGATTTTTATCTCACTGTTTTTTTGAAGAACTATGAAGTGCTGTTTGTATTTGTTAACTTTATAATCTGATTTTAAGTTAATTTAGGGTAACCATACTAAAGCTCCTTTGTCTATACACTCTATAAAGTATTCCTAGATTAGAATGTATATTTTGAAACTAATCCAAGCTACTAGAATTAAATGTATACAGTCATGGTTCAGTTTAGAAATGCAAGTCACATCCATGAAGAACTAATATCTTTTAATGCTGTTCCAAATAGAATTTTTTGTGGAAGTTGCCTTTGCCACAGATATCCAGATCTCATATCAGAAATATATGTAACGTTTTCTAAACTCTGGTATTGATTATTCTACTTTCACAATATGCTAAATCAGATTAGGCCAGATTATCTTTTCAAGCAGGCAGCCAAACAGAATCAAAAAGTAAACACAAAAGCACACGTTTCTGTGTTTAAGTAGTCATGAAATAATTGCTTGTCTCCCACAGAGCTGTACCTGCCCACGTACTGCAAGGCATCAAGTTTTGCTACCCCTTAGAGAAGTACAAATTTGACTTTTGACCTCTAAAAATAACAGTTTCAGTTATTCTCTCTTTCACATAAAAAGAGATCTGAACATTCTGATGCTTCTTATTGGTCACCTAGGAATTGATTGGCCTGAAGCATCGCTGTTCTGCATTAGTCTAAGTGCCAAAATTTTAGGCTTTCCTGACTTTTTAAAATAAATCTGTGTGATGTTCTGTAGAATAGTTTCTTCTAAAGTCTTTTCAGCAATTACAGATTGTTCTAACCTGAACACAATTGCCTGCCTCTATTGCATCTTTTTGAGAAGGCTGGTGACAAAAACTCTAATAATGGTATTGCCTGTATTGCATTTTCTTGTGACTAAAATATCTGATTTATACCAACTCTTTTTCAACTTTAGTGGGGTGATTACCAACACAGGAGGAGCTGTAAGGGTACAGACTCTCCCAGGACAGGAACACTACCCTGCTGTAAATGCTAATGGGATCCAGTCTCAGGTGCTCTCTAAATGGGCTTCGTCTTTCTCAGTGACTGGTAGGTGGATCACACTTACTGTTTTGCAAACTGTATTTTAAGCTGTGGCAGAACTGTGGGACACTTCCTCAGTGCTTCTGTATGCATAAAGAAAGTGATTATTTAGCAATAGAAGTTTTCACTTCTAATTCATTATTTTAACTTCGTTTTTCCTCAATTATCTAAAGAAAAACTATTCCAGCTAGAGTAGCTAGTCTGTAACAGAGGCTGATACATAAAGATGGGTCAGTTATTTAGAATATAGTGACATGATAGCAGGCAGTTCATAGTTCTATGACAGTTTAAACTGACCAAAGCCAGTTCTTTGATCCTGCCACTGCAGTCCACTCCTCCTGCCACTTCCAGCCATTTTTTTTTTTATCCCTTCTCTCCCTCTGCCTGCCTTTGTGCAGGGAGCAGCACTTTGTCAGACCCTTCAAATATCCTTCTCTCCCTCTGCCTGCCTTTGTGCAGGGAGCAGCACTTTGTCAGACCCTTCAAATACCTTGTGCAGTGTTCCATGCAAAGAGAAAACTGACCTCCAAAAACAGTAATAACGTCAACTTATGTGTGACGTGGTCATTAAGCTACAGGGCAATGTAGTAGTTTAGTCCAGAAGTTTCTGTCCCCATTGTTGAGGTAGTTGTTAATTATTAATTGCCTAATTGCAAACTAGTTGTCATGCCTTGTCACTCAGGTGAGGCTAAAGCACCCTCATAAAATCATATGCAGAAACATATTGGTTGCGTATGTTGTTGTGGTTTCAAAAATATTGAAGCAGGTGTTTGCTTGCATTGAAAATTTGTGAAGCAGATCTCTGTAATGTGTTCTTACTGTTTACATAGCTAAAATTCAGCCCACTATCTCTAAGATATTAGTGTTCCATGTATAGTGCTCATGGCAAGTTCCTAGCTAAGAACTTGGAATTAGAGGTGCTTTTGGTGAGGGTGAAGGTGAAATCCAGTTCTCCAGATCAAGTCCTCTCTTTGTCTGCTGGAAATGATGACTACTACAGCTCAAAACCTCTCATCAGATATATATGCTGTAATTACTCATCAGCTGCTGTTGTTTCAAATGCAGAAATTAATAACCTGTAAAACAAAGACTGCAATACTGGATTACACCAAAGGTTTGTCTAGGCTCGTGTCCTACTCCCAGAGTAGCTAATAGCAGATGACAAAGAAAGGTTATTGCAAGTACAGTGATTTTTCAAGCACTTGTAACTTCATCTAAATACACTAAAATCCAGTAAAAGTATTCTCATTTTAGCAGGTGCCAAGAACACAGCACTCGAAGCAGTTGGACGGTCGGTGTCAACAGCCCGTCCTTCCACAGGTGCGTGATCTCCGCAGCCAGGGAGCCCCTCCAGTTGGGATGCACTGCACTGTGCAAGTCCCTGGCTAAGAGAACATGATTCATGAGACTCATCTAATTTTGAAGAAGAAAACAGATGCAGTATCTGGTTTTGCAGTGTTTCTTTCACCAGGAAAAAAAGAGGAATCATATGTAATCTTGGAGATTGATTCCGATCTCACTAATGTTAATGCAAATTAAAAAAAAAAAACAAAACTGGAATTGTTTTTGAAAAGTAATAGAGATAACACAGAGAAAGGTAAGAGTTCATGAGCTCATGTTATGTTCACTTTTTTAAATTGATGGAGAAGACAGTTAAGGCATTCCTTCTTACAGAACTGCTGAACAGCTGAGTGCTGTCAGGACGTGCATAGCAGAAATTTAGTTATGTGAATTTCACCACAGAAAATGCCGCATTAAACCCTTTTTATGAAGGTTAAGTGCTGTATAAATACTGGACTTGGATGTTGTCTGTGAATAGACAACCTGGATTACAGTTTAAGTCATGGTTGGCTTCCAAACCATTAAAAATCCATTGTACAGCAAGGTTGCTAACTGAGAAACTGTAGCACTTGGGAAGGTGAGGTACAGAAATCCACCTGGCTTTGTACAACTCAGTAATCAGTCAGACAGGGGTAGAAAGCAATGTTAAACTGCTTCATTTGAAAAAGAATATACTCCAAGGAGCAAAGCAGTCGTAGCCGAAGTTTAATTATTCAAATGATTGACAATTCCTACTGCATCTAGATTGCACTGTAATTTCTGTAGTCAGAGCCTTTTCTGGTTTACCTCAGTCCATTCATCTTCTTGTTCTTAAGTGATCCATGCTCTTTTTTTCACTGAAGGTAAAAGACCTAAGAAGACTCTTGATAAAAAGGCTGGAAACAAAGGTAAGAACACACAGATTTAACTTTTGCAAAGCGGAATCCTAACATTTATTTGGTGTTAATAAGTGTAATTATTTTGGATGTTCACAGACTGTAAAGCTGATATTGCCTTTCTCATTGATGGAAGCTACAACATTGGCCAACGTAGGTTTAACTTGCAGAAAAACTTTGTTGGAAAAGTAGCTGTCATGTTGGGAATTGGAACAGAAGGGCCTCATGTTGGGGTCGTACAGGCCAGGTAAGAACAGCCCTACACAAAATATAATAGAGTCATTGATAAGAGAAATCAATTAACATGTCACTTCTCCTTTTGCAAAACAATATCACTCAATGATGGCTGATGAGTAGCAAGGGAAAGTAACTCTTGAGCTGTAGCACTGTTTGCTCTGTGCTATACTGAGATGTGCATGTGAGACAACATGACAAATTTGAACATTTTCTGTCTCTGATATTTGACTAGAGAGCAGCTGGATGTTTCACAGCCCCTCTGCTGTACCTTTGCATCTCAGTAGAACAGCAGGAAACACCCTGCAAAGGAGAGATGCCAGTTTCTAAAAATGCAGGGACAGAATAGTCCCTAATGGCTATGTACCTGTATGAAACAAAAATGTGCTCTTGCCAATTGATAAAATATTACAACTGGTATTTTTCAAATTGTAACTGGCCACTTGTTGTTTTCTTCTGTAAATTAAAAATTAAACTGGAGACAGAATACTTCAAGTCTTTAATTTCTTAGTCCGTAACTAGCATACCTTCAACTTCTCAAAGTTGCACTTTGCAGGAATTGTTTATATGACAGGTATTTGTCATACAAATAGTAGAAAACCTGCCAATCTTTAGTTACACAGATGCATTTAGTTTAATGTCTGGCATGTTCAATATTTTTCTTTATGTATTTTCAACCTAATGTTTTCAGCTGTTTGTTAAGCATGAGAATCAGGCTGTCCTTAATTTATCCATTCAGGTAGATAATTCCTCTTGCTAAGGATTGCATGACTTGCTAAGCAAGAAGCATACTTACATTTTAGTATTAAAATCCAGAGAAGAATATATATTATCACGAGCAAAAGTATTCCAAGTGTGTTTTAGCTTGCTAATGCCAGTATGAAAAGTGAACCTTATTACTCTGTTTTATTTTTCCACAGTGAATATCCAAAAATTGAATTCTATCTGAAAAACTTTACTGCTACAAAAGAAGTTTTGTTTGCCATAAAGGAATTAGGCTTCAGAGGAGGAAATTCCAATACAGGTGAGTTAATATTCTCCCTAAAACAGAAATTACTTCTTCATGTATTCATATATATATATGTGTGTGTGTGTGTGTAAATGTTGAAGTCCTAAAAGTCACATAGGGCAGGAAGTGTTTTAGATGCCACACTTACCTTAATCAGGTTCAGTGATTTTCCACTAGAACATTGCTGCATCTCACATTTAATTTCTAGAAGTTAGGCATTCCTATTACACATTTAATTAGAGTACAAGCTTTATACTTGTATAAATGCTTCCTGCATTTTAACACTAATTGACTTTTCACTAGTAACAGAATAATATCTTGAGACAGATTCATAAAAAACTTAGTGTTTCATTCTTGTTGGGTGGCTAATTAAAAGTTAGAGTAGGATTAAGGAGTAAAAGATGACATCGTGGTTTAGCTCCAGGCAGTAACCAAGCCCCATGCAGCTGCTGGCTCACTATCCCCTAGTGGGATGGAGGGAGAATTGGGAAGAGGAAAATGAGGAAACCAAAAAGGAAACCAAAAGACACTCACATAAGCACAGCAAAACAAGGAAATTATTCACTATGTCCCATGGATAAGTAGGTGTTCAGCCACCCCCAGGAAAGCAGGGCTCCAGCTCACCTAACAGTTCATGCCCACACTCCAAGTGTCCCCTCTCCTTCATTCCCCTTCCCACAGCTTTACATGCTGACCATGACACTATGTGGTGTGGAATATCCCTGTGGCCAGCTTGGGGTCAGCTGTCCTGGCTGTGCACCCTCATCCTTCTCACTGGCAGGGTGGCACAAGAGGCAGGAAAGGCCTTGGCACTGTGCAAGAGCTGCTCACCAATAACAAAAACATCCCCCTACTGTCAACACAGTTTTCCACACAAATCCAAAACTCATTCCCTACTAGCTAATCTGAAGAAAATTAATTATCACTGACAAAAACAGCCAGACATTGAAACTAAGCATCTAATTATGTTGCATTTCACAAGCTAAATTTAGGTAGCTCCTGAACTTTCTTCCTTCCAATCCATTTGGCAGGTACTAATATGCCTACTTTCTATTAGGAAACTAGACCCACGAGCACAAAAACATCTCGGGGAATTCCACCTCAGCTTTATCTGTGGGTTTTTTTGGTGGGGGGAGGGATGTTCATTTGGGTTCATTAGTTTTTAACTTAGAGGTTGCCCAAGCTTCATCATTACCAAATTTCCTGGGGCACCAATTCAATGCTACTCTGGCTTAGTCCTGTAGTTATACATGAATCCAGCACGATTTCAGGTGGGAAGCTGATCCCAGAATGTACCATCACTGGATGCATTATTTCTTTTATTATTTTCCTGTTCAAAACAAGGCAAAGCTTTGAAGTACACAGCTCAGAAATTCTTCTCTTTGGAAAATGGAGCACGGAAGGGAATTCCCAAGATCATTGTAGTGTTTCTGGATGGCTGGCCCTCAGATGATCTAGAAGAAGCCGGCATACTGGCCAGAGAATTTGGAGTCAACGTGTTCATTGTGTCTGTAGCAAAACCCACAACAGAGGAGCTGGGAATGGTACAAGACATTGGCTTTATTGACAAAGTAAGAAAGAATTTGGTTTGTAAGAAAGAATGTCATTATCTGATTGTCAGTCATAAATATAATTCTGGAGAATTTACGGTACAATTCTAATGAACTAATATAGGTATATATAATAACTCATATAGATGTATAGACATAAAAATATTATCTCAAGCCAGCTGATTAAATTATCCCTGCTCATAAGTGATTTAAAAGACGAGCAGAAAGAAGGTTAAAGAAGCACTGGAGATTTTTCCTTGCTAAAGGGGCCACACAAAGCTACCATTGTCCTCCCAGTTCAGAAGCTTGGCCGAGTTGTAGCTTCTGGAATTTGTAATTGCATGAAGACTCTCAGTGCAGGAAATCCCCTATCTCAGGTATGGCTGAATGTGCCAAAGCAATGACATGCTGATGTGACACATTCTCTCTCCCAAAAGGGCAGACAGGGAGGTGCTTATTTCTTACCTGCTCTGTGGATAATTATTTACTTACTTTCACTACTAAGAGGACAGAAAATATGGAAAAACACATCCTAGCAAGTCTGTGTACAAGACTTTGATCTCGTATGCAGAGTTTTGGATCTTGTTCCTTTTGAGTTAGAGCAGGAATTCAAATAGCAATCACCTACTTTCACATGAGCTTTCTGATCAGTAGGTCTTTACTTTGCAGTGAGAAAACCAGTCATTTTCCACAGGGAGGTTGTAGATGTCTAATTTCAGCAGAAATGGTATGAACAGAATGAAGCTCTGCCTCTTCTAGGGCTAAGATATCTAGCTGCTGACCCCAGAGGTATTGCAGACAGGTCCTTACACACTTACAGAAGCACCATAGAGTGGTTTGGGCTGGAAAGGACCTTTAAGGTTTTGTAGTTCCCACCCCATTGCCATGGATAGGGTTACCACCCAACAGACCAGGTAGCTCAGGCTTGGCCTTGAACACTTTTGGGAATGAGGCATCCGCTATTCTGGGTAAACTGTGCCAGTGCCTTACCATCCTCACAGCAAAGAATTTCCTCCTAATATCTACTCTAGATCTCTCCTCTTTTCAGAGATCTCTTTGCCTTGTACTATCACTGTCTGTCCCTGTACAGGCACAGAAAGACATGACCTTAAGTGGCTGAGGCCTGTCCTCTCCTTTTGTATTTTGATCTTAGCTTGATTAGTTGAAAAGCTGATTTTGAATTTAACCCATTTTTCAGTTACCTTGTACTTCACATGCATCTGATGGAAGCTAGGGGAAAAGAAATTTTACTCTGAATTACCTGGAGCTATATTTCTAGACCTGGAGCTATGTGTTTGTGACATATTATAGATTAAAAATCCAAAAGTGTTAACCAAGTTCAAAGGGAAAACACAGAGGCTAATTTTCAGTGTATGTGCAAAAATACAGAAATTTCAATCCTTTGGCTATTTAGTATCACAAAACAAAATGACAATTTTCAATTGTTGCACTTCTTGTAAATAAAGCTAAATTATTTGAAAACTTTCATAGCTTGAGGGGCAGGGTTGGCTTTATTATTGGATAAAATGAGCTGCACTGTAGTTTACATTGACTTCAGGTGCAGCTGTTTCAATTTCTTTAGAGACAAGCACACAAAAACCCCTCCTAAGCTCCCACCATGAGGCTTCATTTCTAACCTGCTTTTGAAAGAAAAATCATAGGTGTCTGAGTATTATCCATCGAGCTGCCCAGCTGGCATTCACCCATTCCCTTCACGTTTTCAATCAGGCTGTCTGTCGAAACAACGGCTTCTTCTCTTACCAAATGCCCAGCTGGTTTGGTACTACCAAATATGTAAAACCTCTTGTCCAAAAGCTGTGCTCACACGAGCAGATGTTGTGCAGCAAGACTTGCTACAACTCGGTCAACATCGGTTTCCTGATAGACGGTTCCAGCAGCATTGGAGAGAGCAACTTCCGCCTCGTGCTTGAGTTCGTGAGCAACGTGGCAAAGGCTTTTGAGATCTCTGACATCGGCTCCAAGGTGGCGGCCGTGCAGTTCACCTACAGCCAGAGAACCGAGTTCGGCTTCACCGACTACGTCACCAAGGAGAAGGTGCTGTCGGCCATCCGCAGCATCCAGTACATGAGCGGCGGCACCGCCACTGGCGATGCCATCTCCTTCACAACCAGGAATGTGTTTGGGCCGGTGAAAGATGGACCTAACAAGAATTTCCTCATTGTCCTGACTGACGGTCAGTCTTACGATGATGTTAGAGGACCTGCTGCAGCTGCACAAAAAGCAGGTAAATTATGTATTTTGAAAAGCAGTGGAAGTTGATCCATGCTATTTCTGCTGCACTGCAAATGTTAAGATTTTAAAGTTTGCAAAGTATCATACTTTGAATTCAGCAAAATGTAAGCCCCTAGGGACTGTTTTCCATTAGGGTGAAAAAAACCCAGCAACCAGTAATACAGAGCCAGGTATGACTGGACTCACTTATGGCAGCTTAGGGATCAACATATACCCAGTCTCAATTCCCCAAACAGTAGAGTAAGAATAATGAGCCAAGTAGCTCCATCATCATCTAGGAAGGGAATAAGCAGTTGTGGCCAAAAAGCTCATTGGGCTGATGATGCTTGAAGTATGAGCGTATAAAGGCACCAAGTGTACACAAAGGAACCAAACTTACTTTCAGAATAATTTTACACAGTGTTACTTGTGTTTCAAGACTCATATTGTAACTGCTACAATCCTATGTGTCACTACAAGAACAACTCAGTCATTAGCACTTATGATACCTCATATTTCCTTCAGGATTTTTCCTGAGTCAAATCTAATCCCTGGTATTTAGTGGCAAAATCTAATTATCTTTGACAGACTGCAGGTGTTGAAACATGCTTTTCAAATCCACATTGATTCATTAATGTAGAAATGGCTGGTTTTCTTGTATCTGCAGGCAAAATGGTCTTTTTTTTATTTCCTTTTTGTAGGAATAACAGTCTTCTCTGTTGGTGTTGCCTGGGCACCTCTGGATGATCTGAAAGACATGGCTTCTGAACCAAGAGAATCTCATACTTTCTTCACCAGGGAGTTCACAGGATTGGAGCAGATGGTTCCTGATATTATTAGAGGCATCTGTAAAGACTTTTTGGACTCTAAACAATAAAAAATCTGCTGTTCACTATTACTATTTCAAACTAAAAATCATGACATTGAAATGGTCCCTCTAAAGTACAGATGTTTTATTCTTATATATAGAATATATATAAGAGGAAGAAGAAGGGCTACTTTTTGTTTCTGTAATCAGCCAAAGATTCTTGTGAGCTTGTTAGAAGTTGTACTTGATCCTGAAGTGCAGAATTTGGCCCACGGTTAATATTTTCAACAAGCATATAGCATCCTGATGTTCAAAGCTTTGCATATGGTGCCCTTAAGAATAGCAGGTACTCAGAGGAAATAATACATTTCTGACACTTGCTAGATACCTTCTTCGGAGTTAAAAAAATATAATTTTAAATACAAGGTACTACCTTCTATAAGCTTTCTGTAGCTTACAATTCTGCATCTTTTCAAAGAGTTCTCTGATAACACAAAGTACTTTCAGTGCTCCTCTTGTGCGACATCCATTATTGCCAGGCAGCTTAAGAAAAGATATGTCAGATTGTAGCTAAAAGAGTCTATTTTTGCTAGCTGGGGTTTTGCTGGATCTGGTTGGCCAATTTTACATCAAAATTGGTAAATTTTATGCCCACAGCTTTCTGTGGATCTATTTGGTTGGTTCTGTTGGCACAGAATTTTAAATGTATTTAGGGCACAGTAGTTCCTGGAGAATCTGGATCCTAATATATTAGCTACTACTGCTGCTTTCTGCACCACTGAAGTCAACAGCGATATTCCAAATATAGCTGACAACTGGATATTTCCTGTCTGCTGCCTTGTACTGTCTTGATTTGACAAAGTTGTTATTGGCCAGAGAGTTAGAGACAGGACTCTTGGGCCAAGAGATAAAATGAGACCACACAGTGGGAACTGAAAGCATTCAAATTCAAGGCCAGAGGTATCTCAAACCTTTAAATCAGATTTCATGGTCAGAAAAGAAGAGAGTAGGCAGACACATTATGTTGGATTTAGTAGTTCAGAAAATAACACCTTCATCATGGTAGTAAAAACATCTTTATAGATGTGCGAGTGCTGAAGATAAAGAATAGTTTTCTTGAAAAAGGCTTTCATTTGATTACACACCTAGTAATGTTGATATATTTATATGCACACATATGTGGCTAAAATGACGTGATATTCACCAAGTTATTCCAGAGTCCTGGTGTGAATAACATACTCCAAGTATTCTTTAGAAAATAAAGGGGGCTTGCAAATAAAATGTATAGTAGAAAACAAAACAGCACTTTCCCTATCAGTCTGGGGTTTCCCTTTTTTCCTCTCCCCCAATATTGATTGTAAAATTTCTAGTAGTTATGGAGTGGCACAGAAAGGATTGTATTCATTGGGCTTTTGCTGTGCACTTTTTAATAACTTATAACTGGCTATATATTACTCTGAACATAAATGGCAAAGATGCCTTGTATTTTTCTAGCAATTGTTATCCTTAATTTTGTTACGTGTTTATAAGTAAGAGTATTAAGCTTTTGCTGTATAAATTCATATGCTATATCAACTTTGTGCAAAAATTCAATTAATTTAGTTTATAAACTTTTTATAGAAATACATATTGCAAGAAAACTGGGAGTGCTGCTGTCTGTTTTAATATCTCATAACACAGAAGTCTTTTTATGATGAACCTCATATAGGTTAGCTTGAGTAAGTTGAATGTGATACTTCCTAACTGTATGATATTAAATTCCAAATAATTCTCAAATAATAAGGGTATTATTTTTACAAATATTTTAATTTGGATGAGTCAGTATCAAAGTTTTAGTCATTGTTCATATTAGGTATGATGCTAGTTAATCTAAGTTGTGTGCTAGCTGATAGAATCACGTTTTCTCTTCTACTTTGCTTTTACTGTTGCAAAGGAAGAGGCAACTTTAACTCACATTATTCATTCATCAGACAAAAAGCAGGTTTGCATCCCAGTCCTGATAACGTATTACATCAACATCAAAAAAAAAAAAAAAAAAAAAAAAATTAAAAAAAAAAAAAAATCAAGATCCCTTTATTTAGAAAAGGTTAGGAATTTAGGTACTTAACTGTAACTCCCATGCAGCTGTTTGGAATTTTACATTAAATAGTAGTTAACACAGTTAAAAACTCATCCTTCCCCATTAAGAGCAATCTAAATTTACAAGTTTTTATTAATCTGCTGTCCTAAATAAATTGAAGTCCCTTTTAGTAACATGGTAACTTCCAGGAAGAGCTACAACCTACAGCCCTGCTTTGGTTAGGACCCATGCCTGAGCACTGGAAGCATTCCCTGCCACAAGATCTTTCCTGGGTGAATCTCCACTCACAGGCTATTTTATAACAGAAAGGAGCATGACTTCCTTTGTCATTGGCAATATGTCTTTCTCAGTCTAACAAGCAAACTCAGACCAATGTCTCTGATTCCGCTTACAAATTTTCTGCACCTCAGATTTTGCACCTTGCACAAATCTTAGGCACTTAGGTCCTCTCTTTACCATGATTCACCTGGTATATACATCTCTTGATAGCATGGCTGTTTCTAGCTCTGACAAGTGCAGTAGATACAAAAGCAGGTATACAGGGTAGGACTGAAGGTCAGTAAACTGCAGAGAAGGCTTCATACAGCCAGACTTGCAACCTGGTAGCAAAAGCCTTCTACTTTATACCCTTAAGCAGAATGCAAAACGGGTCTCAGAAGTTGACCAAACTTTATTATCAGTGTGAAAACTATTAATATTGAATTGGCAGGGAACAAGAAAGACCCAAAAGAAAGATCATCCTAACATTCTCAAGAGAAAATAGTCACCTTAAAAGTACTTATGCCTTTAAAATTAATGCCAATAAAGAGCTATGCAGAAATGAGACAAAATCATTTGTATCAAAAGTCAACAATTATAATTCTCTACAACTTACAAAGCAATTTTAAAGTAGAAAGAGACAAAGAAGAACAGGGTTAGATTTTTTGGCACATTATTATAGTCTCATCAGAACAGTAGATTCTCCAATAAATATTTTAATTACTTCCATTTGCCTTTCATATTAGTGTTGTCACGTAAGCTCTCCCTTCTATTAGGCATGGCCCCATAAAATACAGCATTTTTACCTTCCCTGTTCTGAAGAAGAGAAGCAAGGACAACTGCTTATGCCTTGCTTTTAAGCCTTTTTCCTTATGGGGCAATTCTCAGTATCACTACCTAGCTCCACCAATTTTGTCAGCACTTTCCTTTCTTTCATTAGCTTGAAGAGTAAGTCAGCTCCAGAAAATATCAAAGCCACAAAAATGACAGAAAATTTCTCTGTTCCATGCAAGTGTCACAGAAGGCCTGAGCACACTGTCAAAGACAATCAACTTCATTCTTAAGCAAACTGCCTGGAAACTGTGGACTTAAATCTGCAGCCTAATAAAATCAATGGTTTTGGTTTGGCCCTGGGACAGTAAACATAAGTGGTATTCTTGCGAAGTGGAAGCAGAACGTGGCTGTCTTGTGATCACCTGTCATCCAAACAGAGACACCAAACACATGCAAACTTCCACCAAACAGTTTAGAACTGAAGTATGAGCCACTTCTCAGTCATATATGTCTGCTAATTGGAGTGTGCATTCTTTTGCCCTTATTGGCCTCAAAAATTTTGCCTCTACCTTCAGCTGAAGGAAGAATAGGTTCTGAAAAATTGCTGTCTATGATTAAATCCCAAGATTTAATCTCTGCTTTGAAGAAAATGACCACTTTAAATTTAATCTCATTAGGATCAAAACTCCCTTTCCTTTCAAACAATCAAGTCTGGTTAGTGAAGTGTCCTTGATCATAAGCTGCTCTCATGAAATTAAGGGTATTTATTGTTTTATTACTCTCTGATTTGTTTACATTCCTCTGCATCGATACAGAAGCAAATATTGTGTCCTATTTGTCTCTGCATTCCAGAGCAGTTGTCTGTGAATAGCAGCAGGGTCCCTCTTTAGCCATGCCAGGACAATGAAGGGCAGGGTTAGGGTTTCCACAGCCAGAAGGAGCAGGTAGCATCGCTCCCCACTGCCAAGCAGCTCCTGGGAGCTCGAACAGATCCCCAGCTCTGGGCTAGAACTGAACCTACAGCTGAACTTCACACTGGACCAGTTCCTAAGACACCAGCATGGGAATCCTGCACTGCTGTTTTTGCTAGCAAATGTTAACTAAACTTTTCCAACCTTTGCTGAGGTCAGATACGGCCTTTACTACTTAACAGCAATTGGAGTACAGCAGAATGTAAGCAAAGGGATATAAAACTATTTTTCTGCCCTGGTGGATGTGATCAGATTACAAGAATGATAAACAACTATCTGCCAAAGAATACAAGTTAGAGACAACAAGAAGTCAAAAGATTGAGAAAAAGACTGGAAAGATTTAGGAAAATACTTTAAATTAGATGGGAAAAATCACAAAAATTACTAACTTAGCACCACTTTGAAAGCTTTGGTAAGTTCCAAATCAAACAAACTATATAATCAAAATAGTATTTAGTTCATATGAAAAGCAGATTCACTATTATGTAGTTTCTGAAATTCTCTTGACACCCTTGGGTATTTTAGGAATATATTACTTGTTCAGAAAAGGTAGATGTGAAAACAGCTTTCTCTCATCTGAACACTCTAAATTAAGTGAGATACACAAATTTGTTGAACTAATTCTGGTGAGGACTAGGAGCCAGTTTAGAGAAAAAAACAGACCTGTCTGGCACAGCATGTTGGTAGCAAATATATCAACAAGGAATTTACTCCCCAATGGTCAGATTTGCTCAAATGTGAACAGAGACTAAACTAACACAAACAATTAGGAGAAAGTGACCAGGATCAGTTGCTTCTGTTAAGCCCAAATATCTGCAAAAAAAAAAGGTTTCTGACAGAATATAATGCATGTGCACCACGGAAACTGTTGGGTGTTAGGTCAGTCAAACTGGGGAAAATATTTCTAGCCTCTAAGAAATTCTTCTGTATGGCAGCTGTTAGCTAAATCTTTACAGAAATGTTTATTAAGATTAGCAGAGTCAGTCACCTGGGTTATCCCGGGCAAGAGACACATCAGTAATTCAGGAAGCCAACACACAGCTCCTGTTTTTGCCAACACCTACCCTAGTAATGAGGATGTACCAGTATTGTCAAAAGGCTTGCTATCAGTAAGGTGCAATAGTATTTCTAACACCAAAAAACTACAGCAGAGGGAATCCAGGGGAAGCCTCAGACTACCAGCCAGTCCACCAGGGCACGTAAGACAGAGCCATGATTCAGACTCCAACAGCACCAGTGCATGCAGAGCAGCTGCAGGCCCTTCCAAGAGCTCCTGCTTTTAAGCTCCTGCCCCCAGCAGACCACAAATGAAAAAAACAGATACCCACCCATTTCATGGGACAAAAGAGCAACTAGCAGGGTACCTGGAAAACAGAAAAAAAGGAGCTTATAAAAGGCAATGCGGCCAGTCACCACAAAGTCACTGAAGAATATCATCACCTTGGGCAGCCCTCGTTTCATAAAGGAAAACAACATTCCCTTGAACAGCTGCTATGCATGAGCAAAACCCCAGGAGCCATCAGGCATGGTCTGAGAAGTGCCTGGTCACTCCAGGCACAGCAGGATCAATGACAACTTCCCAACAGCTACATGGCAAGCCTAGGTGAGATGGGGACAAGCCTCAGGAAAAACCTCAAGGATATGTGACCAACAATGGTGAAACGAGCAGCTCTCCCTCTCTGCCAACACCATGGTGTCTGAAGGCACAGAGGGCAAAACCTCTCCTGCCCTGCCTCCCCACAGCTTGTTCTCTCCACCCATGGCAGGTGGGCCACAAGACTGCACCGAGCTTATGAAGCCATCCTTTCAACTTGAGTCAGCTGGAACACAATGTGACCTTCCAGGAGAAGGAGATAAGAGGGAGGAATAAAAAGAAAGCCTGTTGTTCTACATTATCAACTCAAAAGTTTGTTTCTATATTAAAAATTAAAACCAAACCAATATAGTTATATGACATTTTAAAGTTGTTGTAACTTGAACTATTTCTTTTAAAAAATCTATTACTAGTTTAATCTGCATAAGACTCAAGGGTATACATTCTCAAAGCATCAACAGAGCAAGTATGAAAATGGAACATTCTTAAACACTCTTGCTTATCTCAGAAGTAGCACTGCAAAACAATTCTAAAGCCTTCTGCTTTTGTTATTTTTTTAAGAAGTTCTTAGAGGCAGACCATAAATTCATATGTGTGTGTGTGTGTATACAGATATATACACCCACTCACTCGTGCAGTGACAAACAGAGTGCTGTGCTCAACACACCTGAGGGATGGGATACCTTCCAGAGGCACCTGGACAAGCTCCAGGACGGGGTCCATGGGAATCTCCTGAGGTTTCACACAGCCAGGTGCTGCTGCTGCACCTGGACTAGGACAACCCCCAGTACCAGCACGGGCTGGGGATGGGCAGATCCAGAGCAGCCCTGCCCAGAGGGACTTGGGGGTGCTGCTGGCTGAGGCTGGACATGAGCCAGCCATGGGCACTCCCAGCCCAGAGAGCCACACGTGTCCTGGGCTGCATCCAGAGCAGCCTGGGCAGCAGGGCCAGGGAGGGGATTCTGCCCC